TTTCGCCCTTTCAAGCGCTTGCTTCAGAAGGACTGGAAGCAGCGGTTGGCTGTCAGAGCAATAGAGGGTGGTATTGCCATTTTCTCCCCACACACTTCATGGGACAGTGTTGAAGGTGGCGTTAATGATTGGCTAGTTGGAGGAATGGGTAAGAACACGTTTTTTCTTTAGTCTTGGTCAAAAGAGTCAGATATTTTTACTTGTTCCTCTATCTGCAGGAAGCGGGAAAGTGTCGGTATTAAGTCAAGCCCACTCTAGCGGCCCGCAGAAACACAGGCTTGAGTTCTTCTGCGTGAACGATGAAGAACTAAACAGTCTTTTGGAGCAGCTAAGACACATAGAAGGCAGTGAAAACTTTCAGTGCTCCGCATTAAGGTAAGCATACCTTTGCATATAGTCATGTACATTAATACATTGGTATCCATTCAAACAGTGCTCCATATTGATCTTCAGAAATGAAAGTGGAGGGCAGCAGGTGAATCTCATCTTTAACAGTTTAGCACTGACTGCTGCGGTGCAGATTCTGGTTTCAAATCCACATGCCGGCAGATCCCTGAACATCACACAAGTCCAACAGGTGAGTCGACATCAACACTTTCATCTCTACAGATTGTTATTATTTTGGTATCTGTCATACTGGTCATCTTTGACCTCTAAGTAAATTATTACTTCAGTAGGGCGCATTCAGCAAGCATGCATTAAATTGATCAAAAGTGACAGTAAAGATATTTATAATGTTACAAAAGATTTCTATTTCAAATAAATTGTTCTTTTGCTTTACATTTTTAAGTGCAATCAAGTTGCAACTTCGTGTAAAGAGCACTGAACTTCATTTGACCACGTTGAATATCAGGTAGAAGATACTGAGATGATTTTGACAAACTTGAGAGAAATTTATATTTTTATTCAGCAAGGATGCTTCAAATTGATCAAAAGTGACAGTAAAGTAATTTATCGTGTTACAAAATATTTCTATTTCAAATAAAAGCTGTTTTTGAATGTTCTGTTCATTAAAAAAGCCTAAAAAATATTTATCATGGTTTCCACAAATATCAAGCAGCACAACTGTTTTTATCGACACTGATAATAATCAAATGTGTCTCGAGCAGCAAATCAGCATATTAGAATGATTTTTGAAGGATCACGTGACACTGAAGACTGGAGTAATGATGCAGACAGTTAAAGGTAGGGTATGTGATTTTTCAAAAACACTTTAGAAAACTGATTTGGGCCGAATAGCAAAACAAACTTGTAGCCAATCAGCAATAAGGGGCGTGTCTACTCGTGATGTGGAGGAGAGAGCTTTCAGTGCATGGGACAAACATTAGCCGAGCCAAGCGACAGAGAGATAGAGATGGCGGATAAAAAACAAAAGAGGAAAACGTCTGCGGAACGATAAGGCAAGAAGTAGGACCCGTGTAAATATCGGATCAGCTTTCCAGCGCTGGAGAGAACTCAAGGAGCGGAGGCCGAGGTTGCTTTGTTTCTTCTCGATAGGTGAGTAACACCGTGTCTACAACAGCTAAAGTCTGCCTACACTGGACGCGACCAAACGACCGTTGAAAAACATTTGAAATGTGTGTCAGCACGTCATTAATAGAACCCGGCAGCAGTTTTCTGTCGGGGATTTGTTGCGCCGCGCCGCTCACGTCCGTAGACACGGTGTAACATTGGTTTTGCTTTGTTTCACAGAACTAATCGTTGCCTGGGTTGCGTACGTATGTGTGGGGCGGAGCTATCAAAATAGGGGCAAGACCCTTTTGGGGTAGGGGCGTGTTTGTTTTGGTGATTTCAAATGTCAACATTGGCTACCAGAAATCACTTTCTCTGCCTTTAAGCTTTAAACACAGAAATAAATGACATTTTACAATATATTCACATAAACGGCTATTTTAAATTGTAATAATATTTCATAATATTACTGTCTTTAACTGTATTTTTGCTCAAATAAATGCAGCCTTCGTGAGCATGACGGACGTATTAAAAAAACAAACATTCAAAACAACTTACCAACCACAAACCTTTGTTTGTACATCACAAATGGCACAAACATAACTGTGAACACAAAATGCTTGCATTTGCTCTAAAAACTGCCAAAAAATAAGATAATATTATGTACTACATTTATAATTGCATTAAACTGTAGGGTAGTGGAGATGAGCAACAGGTGAATCTTGTCTACTGATAATCATAGCAGTTAAAGGCGGAGCTGCATAATTAAGAGGCGGAGCTCCAGACCACATGACACAAATACTATAACAAAGTGTTTCATTACATTTGATGTATTCTAAACAGTGAAACATTTTTTTGCAAGTAAATAATTCTATTAGCTAACTTTCTTTTGAAGTTGATAATAGAAATATATTTATGCATTTTAGTTTTACCTGCCTCACATTTGTTCTGCCTGTTTTCTTTATTTGTTTCTGTATTCTAGCCTCCTTTGTTGGGTTGTGGTCAGGGGCGACTCAGTGTTCTGGATGAGCCAGTGTCTGTTTCTACAGCAGTGCAGAAAATGAAGACTCACTTGGGTTTGCCCCATTTGAGACTGGCTCTGGGGGACCAGCAGACGTTAGGTGGGGTATGAGAGAGTATCCACCTTATTTTTACCTTAAGAGCGGACGCAGACATTTTTGAACTGAATGCAAGGCTTCCTGTGTGAGCCGCATAAGATAGGCCATTACACTTAAAAAAAAATAAAATAAAAATGGTGTAGGATTTACTTTTCACTCAGAAAATTCTTGTAAATTTCATAAGTAATTACAAAGAAATGTCAAGCAACACATTGAATAAATGTGAAATTGAGGTATAAAGACTGAAAATAGTGTTTTCTTGATAAACATGGTCTAATAATCTGCTTTATTTAAAACTTTGAAAAATTATTTTTTCAAAAGGTATGTTATTTGATATTATAAGCTGGTATTTGTTATTATTTTAATGTATTATCATAATCATAAACTAACTGGTTTGTAGAACAAATAGTTTTTCATCGTTTACTAGACTGTTATTGCTCTAGTTATTTACCTACAGCAGCTAACTCATCTGAAGTCTCACACATTCACAGAAAAACAGTCAAACAATCCGAACAGCTGAAACACAGACGTGATGCATGTGTGATTATTGTCACCTGGAAATGACGTCACTAACTGCATTTCTATGATGTTCTAGACTCTCTGGTGAAGACGGTTGCAGTATGTGCAGGGTCTGGAGCTTCTGTCATACAAGGCGTAAAAGCAGACCTTTACATCACTGGTACATCACAAACGCCAAAAAACTAAACAAAACTGACCTTCACCAATTTATTAAAGTCTAAAAATAACACATTTAAGAGTACAAAAAAATGTCGAATTATCCCAAGCTTTTTTTTCTTTTGATTTTCAGGTGAGATGTCTCATCATGAGGTTCTAGATGCGGTTTGTAAAGGCACGAGTGTGATTCTCAGTGACCACAGCAACAGTGAGAGAGGCTTCCTGGCCGTATTCAAACAGAGACTGAATGCACGACTGGGCGACACGGTTACCGTGGCGATCTCCCAAAGAGATCAGGATCCACTACAGGTGGTCTGATTTCATCCGGTCGCACATTTAGTATTCAGTCAAGAGTCGACTGAATATATGAATATATCATAAAGAATTTTCATCGTCTGACCTTGAAAGGGATAGTTCACCAAAAAATGACAATTCTGCCATCATTTACTCACCCTCAAGTTGTACCAAATTTGTATGAATTTCTTTCTTCTGCTGAGCACAAAAGATATTTTGAAGAATGTTGGTGACCAAACAGTTTCTCCATTGACTTGCATTGTATTTCTTTCCAAACTTTTGAAGTTAATAGGGACCAGCAACTGTTTGGTTACCTACGTTCTTCAGAATATCTTCTTTTGCATTCAGCATAAGAAAGAAATTCATACAGGTTTGGAACAACTTAAGGGTGAGTAAATTATGACAGAACTAAATTTTTTTGGTAAACTATCCCTGTTGTAAAAGTAACACTGTCCTATAAACAAACAAAATAAACTTTATAAAAAAATTTTTTTGCATAAAATTCCATTCACAGTTGTTATTTTAAGGTGTATTTATTTGGTCCTACTTTATATTGGGTATCTTTAAGTACTATGTAGTTAAGTCAGAAAGATAAATTGTTAGGTACTTATTGCATTCATGCAATTTTGCAAAACACTTTAGCTGCTGTTGAGGTGGGAGACAGGTAAAGTTAAGGCTAGGGGAGTGGTATGGGTAGGTTTAATGGGTAGGTAGGGTCAATGGTGTAATTATAGAAATTAATTACAGATGTAATTACATGCAGGTGTTTTTATTAAAAAATACATATAAGTACAATGTAAAATAATACAACGTATGTACACTAAGTGCATTTATCACATGATTAATTTAAATGTTAGTACATAGTTTTAATTAACTATGGTAACATTCTATTTTCGATAGTCCACTTTAGACATTCTACTTACTATAACTATAACTACCAGTGTTGGGGGAAAGTTTCTTTTTAAAAGTAATGCATTACTCCGTGAAAAAGTAACTAATTCTATTACTCGGTTACTTTTTATGTAAAGTAATGCATTTACGTTACTTTTGCATTACTTTTTGTCACCTGGGTTGGGCTTGCTTTTTAGTTTTTAAATAACAAAAAAGTAAATTTTGGCAACTTTAAAGGCTCTTTCATATCAAAAGTGAAATTAATAAGCCTCAGGCATGAAGTCCTCTTCCTCTGCATCTCACTGCCAGTTTCTCTCAACACAGGGACAGGAGATGTGTCAGTGAATAAATGGGAAAACAATGTAACTTGCGTTATTTGAAAAAGTAACTCCGATATCTTGTTGTAAATTTAAAAGTAATGCATTACTTGAAAAAGTAATCCGGTTATGTAACTTGCATTACTTGTAATGTGTTACCCCCAACACTGCTAACTACATATCAAGTCCTTAAGAGTATTAGTAGACTGTCTGCTTAATATCTGCTAACACTTTATTTTGATGGCCCCCCAAAATGTAACAGTCTACTAATACTTCAGTGAGAGTTAGTTGACATGTAGTTACCTATAGTAGAATGCAATTTACTTATAGTAGAAAGTCTAAAGTGGACTATCAAATTAAAGTGTAACCTTATCTATTGGCAATGCAATGTTTACTGTTCCCTTTGAAATAACTAATAGGTGGAGGTGGAGGTGGAGGGTGTTTTTTGATGTAGTTTGTCAGGAGGGTGGGATAGTCAGACATAACGCCTGTAGCTCCGACTGCAAACGCAGCTTCCATATCGCTCTCCTCATTGCACACGAACAGCTGCACCTGAGATGGCAAAATGAGATGAAATGAATGGTTTTGCTTTGGATTGGAACCGTTTTTACTTTTATACAATTGTGGAAAGTCACATTCACCTGCAAGCCCCTCTTGATCAAGTGTTCAAACAATGATTTTCGCATTGTCAACCTAAGCATCAATAAACACAGTCAGTCACACATTACAAAACTGAAAAATGAATTGACAGCTCTAAGACGAATGTTACTCACTTCTGAAGTAGATACACCACAAATCTTTTCTTCAGAATGGCTTCTTCTGGAATATAAGTCCTGAGAGAGCAGACATAACACTTGGATTAGTATTAGTTAAATACAATGCAAGTAAATACAGTTAATAAGGTCTCATTAGTTAATGCCTTAAAGCAGTGGTTCCCAAACCTGTCCAGGAGGCCCCCCTGCCCTGCACCTTTTGTATGTCTCCCTTATCTAACACACCTGATTCCACTCATCGGCTTGTTAGTAGAGACTGCAAGAACTAAACTGGGTGTGTCTGATTAAGGAGACATACAAAATGTGCAGGGCAGGGGGTCCTCCAGGACAGGTTTGGGAACCACTGCCTTCAAGGGTTAGTTCACCCAAAAATGAAAATTAGGCTGTTTCACTCACCCCCGAGGCATCCTAGGTGTATATGACTTTCTTCTTTCAGACAAATCCAGTCAGAGTTATATAAAAAATTGTCCTGGCTATTTCAAGCTGTTTAATGGCACTCAGTGGGTGTTGCAGTGCTTCAGTCCAAAATAAGTTAAATAAAAAGTGCCCAACTATTAAAAAAAAGTGTCTCACACTGCTCCGGGGGGTGAACAAAGGCCTCCTGTAGCGAATCAATGCATTTTTGTAAGAAAAATATCCATATTCAAAACGTAATAATCACTTTAATGTAGCTTGTGCCAACAGTTGTACACGGAAGCAGCTCCGGGAGGTCGGCGATGCGCATGCGCCGGTGAATCTCGTGAAAACCAACGTTTGTTAACAGGAGCAAAGGAAGCACAGTTTCCTTACTTTAGCAGAGGAAAACCAGTCTCCTCTTGGCTTATATTGAAATCCTCCGACATACTTCTTTACAAATCCTTGTTTTGTACTTTTAATTAGTGAGCGCTGTTTTGTTTTGATCTCTCCGCTGCGCTTCCGCGTTCGTCACTTCTGAGCGGCGCATGCGCAACGCCGACCTCATACGACATCCGCCCGGAGCTGCTTCCGTGTACAACAGTGAGCGCAAGCTAGATTAAAGTGATTATTAAGTTTTAAATATGGTTATTTTTATTACAAAAATGCATCGATTCGCTACAGGAGCCCCCGGAGCCATGTGAGACACTTTTTTTTTTAAATGGATGGGCACTTTTTATTTCACTTCTTTTGGACTGAAGCACTGCAACACCCGCTGACTGCAATGATAGAGCTTGGAATAGCCAGGACAATTTTTAATATAACTCCAACTGGATTCGTCTGAAAGAAGAAAGTCATATACACCTAGGATGCCTCAGGGGTGAGTAAAACACAGCCTATTTTTCATTTTTGGGTGAACTAACCCTTCAACTGACATTTACTAACAACAAACAAATCTTTGTGAACGACGAATGTCTTCGTTTTTAGTTCATGTTAGCTCAGGGTCATTAAATATTATCAACTTAATACAAATTTGGAAATGCTGAAATGAACAAATAAAGATGAATAAAAGCTTTAGAAGCATTCATGTGAACTGATGTAGTTAACTAATGATAACAAATGTAACCTTGTACTACTGCAAAACATGCCTGAAGATTTCACTGCAAACCAACCAATAACTCTCAGGATGTTTTAAAAAGCTTGTATGGTTATTGAATTTCAATCCTTCTCACTTTTAACTGTACAGGCAGGTTATTGACTGACCTGTTGATAATGCTGGGCAGGTAGAAGAGCAGCAGACTTTCACCCAGAGGAACAAAGGGAAGCAGCCCAGTATAGAAGAGCAATAAAAGCAGTATTCCACGCTTCATAGTGAACATATAGGGCATGGACGGGTTCTACACACAGAGGAAAAAAAGCAAATTTCTTTTAAAAGGCTTGGAAATTTTTATTACGGCATCAATGATTACGGACCACGTATAGGGACAGTACTGTACCTGCTCATTACATTTAGCCATAACGTCAGACTCTTCAGAAGCCCAAACTGTAAAGCTTTCTCTGTGATATTGCTTCACAAGATTAGAGACCTACAGCAACAAAAAAGTGATACCAAGTTATTCATTTCATTAGGTCCATGTTTGATTTAGACAAGTAGGAGAAGAACTAACTAAATAACATCACTGAAAGAAATGACAACTTGCAGGTAAGGAAGTGACTCAGATATCTGCTAGCACACGTTCATCACGGAGACGTCTGCAAGATGTATTTTTGATCATCCGTCTATAGGACATTTCCTATTAGATGTCAAATAGACCTTAAGAAAATGTCTTCTTCAAGATGTTTATGATTTAGAATGCATGTAAAACTGACATCTGAAAGATGTTTGTACACAGCAGATGCTTTCCAGATGAAGCGATCATTAAAAGACATCTTGCAGACGTACCTGTGCTATCTGTTGATTTATTAACTGCGAATCAATGAATGATTCGTCAGACTGATTCAAACAGCTACTCATTCCAGAACGATTCATTAAAAGAACCGGCTTATAAAAGTCTTTTTGAATCTGACAACACTTTTTGCTCTGTTTATTTATTATATTTAAAAGGCTGTACTGGGAGATAGTGTAATATTAATGATTAAACATGCACTTAAAGAGAGTACACTTTCATCTAAATCCACTAGGCAACATTTTTAAAAAGTGCACTTTGTAATAATATCAAATTAAACGTTTTGCTTTAAAGTACATTTTAAAAACTTTGGCTTAGTTTAGTTTGTCTTCCATGTGCTGTGTAACATCTTCAATCAATCTTGATTATAATTTTAACTGTGATGTGTTATTATTCAATAGGCAATTTCAATGGTTCCCAACCCTGGTCCTGGAGGCACCCCGACACTGCACGTTTTGCATGTCTCCTTAATAAAACACACCTGATTCAGGTCATAAGCTCATTAGTAGAGAATTCAAGACCTAAAATGGGTGTGTCAGAGAAAGGAGACATGCAAAATATGCAGTGTTGGGGTGCCTCCAGGACCTGGGTTGGGAACCACTGGGCTATTGCATCAATAGAAATTACAGTAAAGTGTATTTTAGCTTACCATAAATGCTCGTCTATTGACAAAGACAATAGAAATAGCCTAATTATAAAATTATATATAGGCTAAAGACGTACAGTACTTATGTCCTACTTAATTGGGTCAAAAAAGCATTATTACATTCAACTAACTGCATTTAATATACATTTAAACTATAACGCAGTTTCATTTAATTGCAAAAAACATGCAGTTAAGTGTCCGAACACTTAAAAGCACTTAAGTACATTTTTTAAGTATATAATTTCTGTTATAAGTACTCTTTTTGAAAGTCTGCTAAAGTGTCTTTCTTTTTCACAAGGGCATGCTTGAACGGGCGGGATTTAAAAAATAGTGAAAGCATAGAAATTATTATTTTTTAAAATCCTCCATAAATGCTCGTCTATTGACAAAGACAATAGAAATAGCCTAATTATAAAATTATATATAGGCTAAATATGTACAGTACTTATGTCCTACATAATTGGGTCAAAAAAGCATTATTAAATTCAACTAACTGCATTTAATATACATTTAAACTATAACGCAATTTCCTTTAATTGCAAAAAACATGCAGTTAAGTGTCCGAAAACTTAAAAGCACTTAAGTACATTTTTTAAGTATATAATTTCTGTTATAAGTACTCTTTTTGAAAGTCTGCTAAAGTGTCTTTCTTTTCACAAGGGCAAGCTTGAACGGGCGGGATTTAAAAAATAGTGAAAGCATAGAAATTATTATTTTTTAAAATCCTAACCATAACTCAGCATTGTGATTCAGAAACACACTTTATCAGCAATATGAATTTAATGACAGCAGGTAGAAGGAATATTGCAAAAAAAAAAAAAAAAAGATCTTACCTTTTTGATGAGCAAGTCATTGTTTTCTTTGATCTCAAGTATCATTGGCATGCTGGGAAATTTCTTAAAGAGATCTTCCAGCAGCACAAACTTTCTGTCCTTTCCTGTACTGTAGTGTCCTAACACATGATAACATTACATATTTTAATAATTAGAGCTTCACTAAAGTGCTTAATAGTGTACAAAAAAAAAAGATCTTACCTTTTTGATGAGCAAGTCATTGTTTTCTTTGATCTCAAGTATCATTGGCATGCTGGGAAATTTCTTAAAGAGATCTTCCAGCAGCACAAACTTTCTGTCCTTTCCTGTACTGTAGTGTCCTAACACATGATAACATTACATATTTTAATAATTAGAGCTTCACTAAAGTGCTTAATAGTGTACAACTGGACCTGTATCCAAGTACTTACCAACATAAAATGTGACCTCGAGTCGCTCTTCATAGAGAGGCAAATCCTGAAACATACAAAATAGGATTCAAAGATCATCACAAATCATAGGACTATGAAAAGAGAAAGTTTAATGGTTAAAATAACTACCTGGAACCTAAGAGACGACACTGTTTTGTCATATCCGGTTTGTCTCATTAGGTTGTAATCATGTGAAATGACCACATAGCCATCCGATGTGAGGTGGCAGTCCATCTCCAACATCTCAGTGCCCACAGCCACAGCACTATCACACGATGAGATGAATACATAGTTAGAATAGAGAGGAGGAGGAAGGAATAGAAGCAGATATAGCACAAGAGAAACTCACTGTGTAAAAGCTTCCATTGTGTTTTCTATCTTCTCTCCAGAACCTATAGGTAAAAATAAATAATACACTAATTGTTGTACTGATACTAAATGAACTCTTATATTATGTTTTGAGGTAATTTGACCTAAACAGATTTTTGTGTTGTTGTAAATACAATTTTTTATGTATATGGCATGCAAAGGTGTTACAAAATGTGCGGATGAAATTTGTATAATGATTATGATGTTAGCTGGTCAATTTGACCTGCAGGTTTCATGGTTAATGGCAGCTTAAGACCCAAAATAATAGAAAAAAAATTATGTCATGTCAGTTTTTTAACTTCCCATGATGGCATTTACATTAGTGCATTCGGAAGACTCTTTTATTCAAAAAATGTATGCTGCTTTGAAGACATATATATATATATATATGTGTGTGTAACCCTGGAGCACAAAAGCAGTCTTAAGTCACTGGGGTATATTTGTAGCAATAGCCAAAAATACATTGTATGGGTCAAAATGATTGATTTTTCTTTTATGCCAAAAATCATTAGGATATTAAGTAAAGATCATGTTCCATGAAGATATTTAGTAAATTTCCTACTGTAAATATATTAAAACTTAATTTTTGATTAGTAATATGCATTGCTAAGAACTTCATTTGGACAACTTTAAAGGCGATTTTCTCAATATTTAGATTTTTTTGCACGCTCAGATTCCAGATGTTCAAATAGCTGTATCTCAGCCAAATATTGTCCTGTTTATACATAAGCTTTCAGATGATGTATAAATCTCAATTTTGAAAAATTGACACTTAAGACTGGGTTTGTGGTCCAGGGTCACAAATATACATATACTAGTCAACATTTGAAGTGGATCAAAACCTTTCATCAAAGTTGTCCTAAAACCAAAACAATACCCGTTCTTGTCTTAGGACAACTTTGATGAACTTTTTTGATCCACTTCAGATGTTGACTACTGTATATATGTATTTATCAGTTCACAAATGTGAATTTTGCTGAGAATCGAACCCATGATCTTGGTGTTGCTAACATCATACTGTTTAAACTTCAAGAAAGCACACAAAAAAAAAAAGACAAAAAATTCAAAAATAAAAGAAAACAAACAAAAATTGTACATTTTAAAAATATTTAAAATACTGTTTATAATATTCACATTTTGTGAAAAACAAATGTTTAAAAAAATAAATGTTAAATGCAATTTTAAAAATCAATTTTTTTTTTAAATAATATGTTAGAAGTAGTAGGCTAATGTTAAAGGTTTACTGTTTTACCTTTGTTTAAAAAAAAATCCAATTAAGGTCAGATTACAATCACTATAACTTAATCAATTTTAACACATTTTTAAGTACTTTATTATTATTTTTAAGTATTAAAAGAGTTAAGTATTATTAGTTATGTTCACAAGTTAATAAAAAAAGTTCTTTAGCTCAAAGTAATGACACTTAAATTCAAAATAGTCCACTTGCCTCCTCTGTGTGAAATGTGTCTGCAGTAGAATTCCAGCCGTTTCTTCTTATGAAGAATCCATAAAAGAAAACAAACAAAAATTGTACATTTAAAAAATATTTAAAATACTGTTTATAATATTCACATTTTGTGAAAAACAAATGTTTAAAAAAATAAATGTTAAATGCAATTTTAAAAATCAAATTTTTTTTTAAATAATATGTTAGAAGTAGTAGGCTAATGTTAAAGGTTTACTGTTTTACCTTTGTTTAAAAAAAAATCCAATTAAGGTCAGATTACAATCACTATAACTTAATCAATTTTAACACATTTTTAAGTACTTTATTATTATTTTTAAGTATTAAAAGAGTTAAGTATTATTAGTTATGTTCACAAGTTAATAAAAAAAGTTCTTTAGCTCAAAGTAATGACACTTAAATTCAAAATAGTCCACTTGCCTCCTCTGTGTGAAATGTGTCTGCAGTAGAATTCCAGCCGTTTCTTCTTATGAAGAATCCATGGATTGCGTAGCAAGTACAGCGAACAAACGACATAAAGTCCAACAGCCAAGCAGAGGAGCAGAATCCCACTCAATACGTCCATGCTGAAAACTCTTAACTAGTCAATCCCTCACTAACTGCACTTTGACTCTCAGAACCGGATATAATTAAGTTACAGTTTCTAGAAAGCAAATATCAGCGCTCTACCTATAGAATAAGCAGCTCTTCAAAGTCTGAGTTTTTCTTCCACCTATTTTGAAACAGTTCGGTCATGCTTTGCTTTATATGTCTTATCTCATGCAGGATTTATGGCGTTTATTCTGTCTACACGTGATCATGCGGGAGAGTTGGGTGTGTGGTTAGGTGCAATACTGATATCCAGAAAAAGAAAGAAATGGGGTTTAACTGTGAACAAAGAAATCAAATCTTATATCTTATTCATATACTTCCGTTGAGACGGGGAAACTAGAATATTGGAAACCTTACAAAAAAAATAATCATTAGGTTTTGAGATGTGAGCGAAAAGACTGGTGTTTTATCCCTTATCTGGACTGTTGTGGTTTGTGGTCAGATTGTTTCACAAGCTTCACATGAATCTAACCTTCTGACTCGATCAAATCCACACTTCTGCTTGAGTAATAACTGGGGCTGATGACAAGCACTTTCTAAGAACTTCATGAGATCAATTCTGAAAAATATCCTATTTTTTTCATGTCATGATGGCTTGAAAATTCCCCATGTATTGCCAATGTCATGATGTAATGTCATATGTTTTTTTTTTTTGCACACTTTTGTGAATTCGCTGAATTAATCGTAATTGCTTGCATCTGAATCCAGCCCATGTGTCATTTGGAAGGTGGAACTAGGTAAACAGAGTTAAAGTTTAAGACTACACCTTTGCCAAATATTCAGCACAACACATTTTGACCTGAATATGAACTGAGCATATTTGAGTAACTTTTAGTTAAGTGATTTGTTGGAATTTTGTTGCAGATGTGCAAGTTGAACCTTTGGGCAAAATCAAGTAAAACCTGTTATGAAATGTCCAAGCAGAATCATGTGCACAAGCAATCATACAGAAGATCATCTAATCACATGACAACACCACTGTACTGAGAACACAAGAAAGCTCAAGTACTTCCTACTACATATGATTGATCAGTTTATGTGAAATCACGAAAGCTACACTGTAAAAAATTACCGTGAATTTAATGGTAAAAGACTGTAAAAATGCTACAGTAAAAACCTGTTAAATGGTTAACGGTAAATTCCCCTACTATATACGGTGAAAAACTGTATTGGACATCACATGTAATTTTACGGTAGTATACCATTTTTGGAAGTGAAAAAGAACGTATAATTTACAGTGAATAACCGTAAATTGACATTCCCAGAATTCCCTGCGTTACATTTCAAATTTGATTTTTTTTTGTTTAAATAACTATGTTTCTTCTTATCAGTTTTGTACATTAGGGTTGTGTGTTACACCTAATGTTGTTAAATGAATGTTTATTGCATTATTTCAGTTTCATGTGTGTTACCGTGATGGTGTTTAGTGTTTGTGTGAATGACGCTGTGCACCTTCTATATATGTTATTATTTAAAAGCTGCTTGTGATGGGCTTTGGTTCATCATGTGACTTTCTCATCACCTCCTGCATTTGGTGGTTATCAGTGTATTACAAAACAGGTACAAAACAGGTTTCAGTACTTCAATAGGTTGGTATATTAACATTATATCAGTTAATGAAATTACGGTATTTAACTGTAAATTTAAGTTAAAACCTAAAATGTTGCTACCGTATTTTTTACGGTAAAATTCCGGCAACCACAGCTGCCAGCTTTCTACTGTAAATTTTACGGATTTTTTTTACAGTGTACAATATCTTGTTTAACCCTGTTTTTGCGTTAACATAAAAAACATTAGTGGATCAAACTAGCCAGACATTATAAACTACTGTTCAATATCCTGTTAAATTTATGATAAAAACCTGGGCCTAATTAAAATTTTAAATAATAATAAATAAATAAAAACTATTTACATATAGTCATATATGATGTGCCATGCTCAGAGTTTGAGAAATGTACTTTAAATTATAAATATGGTAGTTCATACACTGAAAAAAAGTTGTAAATACAATAACGATAATTGGAGTATATTTGACAAGAAAATACTATTTCAGTTTTTCAACTTCAAAATTTCACATTTAATTCACTGTTACTTGCCGTTTCTTTGTAATTGTTTGTGAAATGTACTAGCAATTTCTGAGTCAAAAATGTTTTCAGTACAGCTTTTATTTGAAAATATCATACATTTTAGATTATTTTACAGTAAAATTACATTTGATATAATGTGATGTTAATTTACAGTTTTTCACCATATTGGTAAGGTAACTTAGTTAACCAATTAAATGTTTTTTAAAGTAGCATTTTTAAAAAATATTTATTTATTGGTAAAATGTATAAATGTTAAACAGTATATTTGTTTTTCAACATAATTTCCACCAGTGACTGATTATAAATATAACATAATTCAACCATGTACAGTAAGTCAAAGAATCCAAAAATATACTAACCATAATCTCACTTCCAGTGTTAGTATCAGAGTAAATATCATTTTATGAAAATCAAAGACTAGAATTTGTATTTCGTTTCTCAAAACATTTTCATTTAGATAATAAATATACATCTGGCCTGTCTTTTCATCAATAGTGTTTGCATTTTAACAAATGAACACAATGAAAAGAGTTTGAGAGTGTGAAGTGAAACCAATGTTTTTGTCTTTTAATATTGATGTGAATGAAAGTATGTGTTTATGCTCTGAAAAATACAGGTTCTTTCTTGGCATCGATGGTTCCATGAAGAACCTTTAACATGCATGAAATCAATCCACAAAGTGTTCTTTAGATTATTAAAATTATTAAAATGTTCTTAACACTAAGGGAAAAAAAGATCTGTGGAGCCATTGTCCATTAAAATGAAAAAAAAACAAACAAACAATCAAACAAACAAAAAAGTTCCAGAACCAAAAATGGTTCTTCTGTTGTATGACTGATAAATTCTTCTTTCAAACCTTTATTTTTAAAAGTGCACTCTCGGAAAAAAACTGGGGTGGTACCTTTTCAAAAGGTACACTTTTGTACCTTTTAGGTACTAATATGTACCTTTAAGGTACCAATATGGACTCTTTAGGTACAAAGGTGTGCTTTTTGAAAAGGTACCGCCCCAGTGACAGCTTTTGTACCTTTTTTTCCTGAGAGTGTGATTATGAATTAGGTCAAATTGAAAAATTAAGTAAAGACACAAATGTGACCCTGGACCACAAAACCATAAGGGTCAATTTGATTAGATCATCTGAACGCTGAATAAATAAGCTTTGCATTGATGTATGGTTTGTTACGAAAGGACGATATTTGGCCGAGATACAACTATTTGAAAATCTGGAATCTGAGAGTGCAAAAAAATCTAAATACTGAGAAAATCGCCTTTAAAGTTGTCCAAATGAAGTTCTTAGCAATGCATATTACTAATCAAACATTTTTGATATATAAAAGTTTTGATATATTTATGGTATGAAATGTACAAAATATCTTCATGGAACATGATCTTTACTTAATATCCTAATGATTTTTGGCATAAAAGAAAAATCTATAATTTTGACCCATACAATGTATTGTTGGCTATTGCTACAAATATACCCCAGCGACTTAACACTGCTTTTGTGCTCCAGGGTCACAAATGTCAAACTGACCTGTTGGTTAAACTCCTGAAATCTATTGTAGGAATTACCAGGCCTTGCAACTTTTTAAGTTAGCAGATTTAAATAAGGCACAATTCCTAATTCCTCACACTAAACGCCCTCATTGCCGCTAATGTAGCATGAATAGAGTCTGTCGTGCTACTGTTGCTTAAAGACACACACCTGGGCTCTCATAAACACATTAGCTGCCATTAGGCCTTACAGTCCCTATAAACTCTGAAACGGACACACGCTGTAGTCAGTAATGACATCCACCCCCCTCTGAGAGCGACACCTCCACTTCCCCTCTCTCTCACAGCCCCGCTTTATCACCCGCCTGTGAATCCACATCGCAAACAACAACTACAACAACAATGTTAAGAGCTGCAGTCTGCTGACCCCTCAGAGCTCCAAAACCAGCGTTTAGGACTGACAGTAGGTATTAACAGATTGTTGCAGGGATGATGTATTTTTAGGCCATAACCTGGAATCAAGTTAGCATATGGGCACTTCTGGTCCCATCGTCCTGAAGTCGATGTTTTTTTTTGTTAAATGCCTGAAATAAGGTCTGTGTTGAACACAAGCTCAAGATATTTTCATGTTTTATTCTACGGCATAAAGATATTACATGTCTAAAAACAAGTGGATAAATGGGCATTAAACGTGATCAAGCTGAACAGGTAAATCCATAATCACTAGTTGCTTTCACAGCCTCATTGTGTTCATAATCACACTCTTGTTAACAATTCTAACTCAAACTTTCAGGGAAAGCTTTTAAAACAAAGACTGAGAGTTGTCAGACGCTTAATGGTGTTGATGTGAAATCATGCGACCATATAGTTCGTTTATAGCCCACATTTAGCTTTTAATTTCTGGTGAGTGTATTTAGGCTCCAAAGTTGTGTAAAACATGTGAGAATCATAAACTTGTGTTGGTCACAGATCTTATTTTCTGCAATAATCCAAAAGCCATTGGAAAATCCTTTTGGGGTTTTGTTGAAGGAAACGGGGGATGTGAACGTATGGGTTGGCCTACAAAAATATGCAGGGCTTTATAATAAATGTCCTTTAAACACTGCCCAACAAACATCATCTAAAGCATATGTTGATCTGTCAAAAGACATTTGGATGGTGTCTGAACGTCAGTGTTTACCTAAGAGACCAAACTGCAGCAGTGACCAAACTGTCCGTCAAACGCCTTCCACCCTCACCACCAACTGAGAATGAAGATCTGAGCAGAGGGCAAAGGCCAAAATTAAACTAGACATCAAATCCTTTTAGTATTATACCTAACAATAAATCTAGTATTCCTCATCCGGTCAACTCTAAAACCATAGATGGATAGCGGTAGTGGTACAGACAGTCCATATACAGTTGTGCCATTACATCATATAACTGCCATTCATTCACAAAGCATTTTCAGTTTGACCTTCCTCTTTCTTCTCATTGTGGGAGGAAAACCAACCCGACACCAGCCCAGTCAGCAGTTTGACCCATGAGAATCC